AGCTCCTCTTCCCAATATCTGCTATTCTACTTCCTACCTCTTAATACTTAAAGGTCAATCTGATATACAAAGATGGGTCAATTTTTAGGGGGGGGGGGAAGTGGAGAAATATTGATAAAGCAAGGCAAAATGTTCTCTTTATTATTCCCTGAAAATCAGAAGTATTTTTTAACCTTTAAAAGATATTTTCAAACCAGTAAAACCTTAAAACTTGAATAGTCTAGCTCAAAACTACTGAAACTACCAAATGGAATTTCTTGGAATTAAATATCATCATTAATTTCATAGGTGTTCATAAATTATGAAAAAATAAAATATTCTCAAAATAGGGAGTTATTTCATTCAATATTAAAGAAAAGTGTATTATTGAAGAAATGGCCTTAAAATTATGTCTCCTTCAATTTTTTCCAAAATTGAGTTACAAGCCTGACTTTGGTACTTAATACTTTGTTACAAATAGGCAAGTCATTTGGTGAGGGGCAAGAAAGAAGGGACAGAATAGAGAAAGGAGGAGAGAAAAGGACCTTAATAATATTTAAAGTTGCAGGTGAAAATTCATAGTTAGATTTTAAAATCATGTGTGGGAACATATTAGAGTCATTTAAAAAGTAGATTTATTTGTAGATGTCAACGTGTGTGTTTAACCTGTTCAGCATGTTGAACTAGTTATACTTTTTTAAATTTTAAAGTAAGATCTTATAAATCATCTGAGAATCTATGGTGTTTATAGACTGATAAATGGTATCTCAGGTAAAGAGGAGGAGCAAATGTCAGAGTTATGCTTGTACACAGCTGCTGCAAATAAGTGACTCGATTGGATGACTGGAAACACAGCACATTACTTTTCTAAACTCATCTGCAAAATGGTTACAGGTCCCTATTAATGTCAACACTGTTTTTGCTGAACCCTTGGAAAATAAACTTTTTGTTATGATTTAAATTTTTTCCCCTTAAAAAGTAGTTTACCACCCTAGCTGGTTTGGCTCAGTAGATAGAGCATTGGCCTGCAGACTGAAGGGTCCTGGGTTCGATTCCAGTCAAGCGCACATGCCAAGGTTGCGGGCTCAATCCCCAGTAGGGGGCATGCAGAAGGCAGCCACTCAATAATTCTCTCTCATCATTGATGTTTCTCTCTCTCCCTCTCCCTTCCTCTCTGAAATCAATTAAAAAATGTATATTTTTAAACAAATAGTTTACCTGACCAGCCAATGTGGCTCAGTGGTTGAGCATCAAACCTATGAACCAGGAAGTCACAGTTAAATTCCCAGTCAGGGCACATACCCAGGTTCTGGGCTTGATCCCCAGTGGGAGGTGTGCAGGGGCAGCCAATCAGTGATTTTCTCTAAGGATTGATGTTTCTATCTCTCTCTCTCCCTCTCCCTTCCTCTGAAATCAACTATATATGTATATATTTTAAAAAGTAGTTTACCAGAATTTAAAAATACCTGGCATCTGTCTGTGAGACTCTGTTTACATATAGTTGGAGTAAAATGGGAATCAATTCAGTTATGACCAACTCCTGCTAGTAGATCTGTACTTTCTTCCGAATATAAAAACATAGTATGCAATTATGAACCTGGGACCAAAGTTCCCCTAGTTAGAAGAAAAGCCAATATGTTGACACATCTCAAATGAGACAAACAACTGAGCATTAATTGCAAAAAAAAAAAAAAAAAAAAAATACACACACACACACACACACACACACACACACACACACACACACACCCCACAGGATCAGAAATTTGGAAGGAGCCCTTGTGGTTGAGGAAAATAAACCCAGGCACAATCTTTTGTCTCCAGAAACTACATATGGATTCAACTGCATATGTGCACTGTTGCAGGGTGGAGACCATGTGCTGTTTATCATTTTATCCTGAGCACTTAGCAGAGGGCCTGGCATAAAATAAGCACTCAATAAATGTTTGTGGAATGAAAGAATTTTGCAACTATATATTATACAGTGTTTTTCCAACTTTTTAAAATGTGGCGCACAGTAAGAAACATACCAATTCCCGGTACACACAAATGCACATACATAAATAACGCAAAAATTATGAAACAATACTTTCTTTAATTTGAGAGGTGCTTTCTGATAGTTTCTCTTCTGATATGTTTTATTTGACATTAAAAAATACTGGTTATGATCCACTAAACTGATTTTAATAAGCTACCAATGGATCAAGACTAGTATTTTAAAAGACAGATTTATATTATTTGTGTTTATATTACTTAACTTCTTACATTTATAAGCTTCATTAACTACAGATCACTTTTGAAAAATCACAAAATGTTTTTATTTACAAGGGAATTTAGAAAGTATTCAAATCAACTCTAAAATATTGCACCAGTTATGAATTCACTACAGTGAGATTCCCTTTAGTCAATGTAGTTGAATTGGAACTTTCCCAACCAAAGCACCATATAAAAATTAAACTCAAAACGGATTCACAACCTAAAGGTAAGAGCTAAACCTATAAAAGTCTTAGGAGAAAACTTCGGAGTAAATTTTCATGGCTTTGGATTAGGCATTGCTTTAACACCAAAAGAAAAAAATAAATTGGATTTTACCAAAGTTAAAAAACCTTTTGCTTCAAATGACCCCATGGAGAAAGTAAAAACAACTTATAGGATAGAAGGAAATATTTACAAATTATATGCCTGATAAGGGACTTGTACATAAACAAATAAAAAGACAAATAACCCAATTTAAAAATGCACAAAGGATTTGAATAGACTTTTCTTCAGAGGATATACAAATGGCCAATAAACAGATGAAAAGATGCTTGTGTAATTAGTCATTAGGAAAATGCAAATCAAAACCACAATGAGATACCACTTCACACCCACTAGGTTAGCTAAATTACAAAAGACAGACAACAAAGATGTAGAAAAATTGGAATCCTCATAAACTGCTGATAGGAATGTAAATTGGTGCAGCTGCTTTGGAAAACAATCTGGCAACTTTTTAAAAATTAAATATAGAGTTACCATATGACCCAGAAATTCTGCTCTGAGGTAGATGCCTTAGAGAAATGAAAAATATGTCCACACAAACCTTGTTCATGAGTGTTCACAGCAGCATTATTCCTAACAGCCAAAAATGGAAACAACCCAAATATTCATCAACTGATACATGAATAAACAAAATGTGATATACTCATATAATGGAATATTATTTAGCCAAAAAGTGAATGAAATACTGATAACATTTGGTGAGCCTCCAAAACATTATGTTAAGTAAAAGAAGCCAGTCACAAAAGACTACATGTGATACCATTTATATGAAATGTCCAGAATAAATATGTCTATGGAGGCAGAAACTGATTAGTGGTTGCCTAATTTGGCGGCCCTTAATGGGAATGACTGCTAATGGACGGAAGGTTTCTTCGGAGGGTGATGAAAATGTTCTAAAATTACATGATGGTGATGCTGGCACAATTCTGTCAATAAATTATAAATAATTAAATTGTACATTTAAAATGTATAGTATTTAAATGTTAGATTTTTGTAAATTTTGTCTCAATAAAGCTGTTCTTAAAAATAAAGCAGTTCGGAACTCTGGAATGATCAAGAAGTAGGGTGCAGTCCAACCTATGAGGGAGGGGGGTATGGGTTATGGGGGGTGGGGGTAAAGATCAACCGAAGGACTTGTATGTACGCATGTGAGCGAAACCAATGGACACGGGGGGGGGGGGGCGAAAGGGGGTGAGCGTACGTGCTGAGGGGTGGGAGCGGCCAGGTGGAGGTCAATAGGGGGGAAAAGGACACTTTAAACAATAAAGAATTTAAATTTTAAAAAAGAAGAAGTAGGATGCATACAGCACTGCATGCCCGAGTGTAGAATGTTAAGCCATGTCAACGTGACTGCCCAAGTGGCAGGCAAAGAAACGGGGCTTTTCGGTGGTCCATGAGATGGTCTCCGAAGTCCCTAAAGGGCCACGGCTCTCGGCCTCTCCTGCCAGCGGACGCGTGGAAAGACACGCATTCATCGGCCGAAGCTCTGAATCGCGGCTGAAGTGATGATGCTCATCCTCACAGCATTTTACTTCACATTACAAATGAGGAACTTCTGCCCTAGAGGGAAAAGACCGAGGCACCCCCGGCAAAGGAAGATGCTAAAGGAATGGAGAGCGTCTTGGGCAAGGAATGGAGAAGCTTCTTGAAATCCGGGACTTGACTCGCCCGCAGCGCCCGAGGGCCAGGCCTAGACCGGTTCAGCAGATGAGATGGGAGGAGGCGGAGAGGGGCGGCCTGCGGCCGGGCATCTGGCCGGGCATCTGCGGGCCCCTCGGACGGCCGATGGAGAGCAGCAGGGAGAGCAGCTGCCCACAGGCACCTGCTTCAGGGCAGCAGGGCCCAAAGGTTTCTCAAACTGGGAAGCTTGGGGTTCCCACCCCGCCCCACGTGCCGGGCCCCGCCGGGTCACAACCACTGCCAAAGAATTAACGACGGTCTGTGCACGGGTTCCGAAGTGCTTTTCGTGATTAAACTAAAACCCCGTCGCTTTCAGTGGCTGGCTACCTGTGCGGATCACACATGCCAAAGGGGGGCCGTGACAGGGCGTCGCTCCAGCATGTCAGACTGAAACACAGGTGGCCCGACGTGTGTGTAGTGTCTTTTCATAAAGAATGTCCCTGAGAAGAGCGACGGGGACGGGGGCCCCGTGGGGAGGGCGCCGGGGGCGGGCGGGCCCGGAACCCCACACCTGGGCTCCCCGGCCGGCCGGCGGGACCCCGCGTCCCTCAGCGCCGCTCCGGCCTGACTGTGAAGCGGGGCCGTTCGGGGCCGCCTCCCAGCGGCGGTTGTGAGGAACAGGCCCGGCCGGGCGCAGAGTAGGCGCTCCGAGGAGGCAGCCGGCGGCCGGGGCCCTACTGTGCGCCAGGCGGGCGCCGCGGCCGCTCCCTCCCCGCCGTCGGCCCGCGCTCGCCGCCCGCGCCGCCACCCCCTCGGGTCCCTCTCGGCCGCGGGCGGGCGGGGCGACCGCACTCGGAGCCGGAGCCGGAGCCGCCGCCCGGGGCGCTCGGTCAGCCTCCGGGACGCCGGAGCGGGGCGCCACGCCGCCGCCGCCACAGGTCAGAATCCGGGGCCCCGCGGCTCTCCCGCCGCCGGTCGGCGGGGCGAGGGGGCGCGGAGGGAGGCTGCGCGCCAGGAGTCGGGACTCGGGGAGTCGGGCTGAGGGCTGAGGGCTGAGGGCTGAGGCGACCGGCCGAAGGCGCGGGCAGAGCGGGGCGACGGATGGAGGGTCGCCGGGATGGGTCCCTGGTGGGGGGTCGCGGCCCGTGGGGACGGGGCTGGCGGTCCGGGGGGAGGGTCGCGCCCCGAGAAGCGCGAGCAGACCCGGCGGGGAAGGGCGCGGGCTGCACGCGGGGCGGCGTGAGTGGCCGGCGGTCCCGCCGCCCGGAGAGGACTGGGAATCCGCGTCTCCCGCCGAGTCTCCCGCCGAGTCTCCCGCCGAGGCGCGCCGGCGTCCGGGAGCCGCTCGCGGGGAACTTGGGGGCAGAAACGCGGGGTCCCGCGCGTGGCGGTCCCGCGGCCGTGGAGTCCCGCGGGGTCTGCAGAGCCCGGACGGCGAGGCGCTGCGTGGAGTCGTCGTGCCCAGCTAGCGAGGGGCGTCCGTGGGGCCCCCGCCCCGGTGCCTGTCAGCGCTCCGCTAGCTCCGAGCCGAGTGGGGTCCGGAGGTGTGGGCCGGGCTCCCCGGGCGTCAGGGATGGAGCGTGCGCCCCCCCCCCCCCCCCCGCGCACACCCTCCCGGGTTTGGACCGGGAGCGTGAGGGTCGTGGCTCCCACGGGTGCCCGCCGCGTCGTGGCCTGGCCGAGGGGGCGGAGGGGGCGCCTCCCGGAGGCGCGGCCCCGGGCGCGGGCGCAGGTGGGTGTGCGGCCGTGGACTGGATGCCGGGTCTGGGGAGGAGCCTGGGGTGAGGGGCAGAGCCCGGAGTAGCCGCCGCGGCTTTTATATAAGGTCGGCGGCGCCGAGGGCCTCACCTCCGCGGTGCGTCGGAGGCTGCGCTGCTGGTCCCGCGGGCTCCGGGCTCAGGTGAGTCGGCGCCCCGACGGCGGCGGCTGGAAGGTGGGCTGCCGCGTCCGCCCTTCGAGGGTGGTGGTCCTGACGGGGATCCCGTCACGGGCTGTGCGCTCACTGCGGCCGTGACATCAGGGCGCTCGGGGCTGAGGATGATGGTTGGGGAACTAGTGTCATTACTAGGAAAGTTTATATATATATGTATGTGTGTGTGTATATATATATATATATATATATATATATATATATACATATATATACACACACACACATATACATATACACATACACACACATATATATACACATATACATATATATGTGTGTGTGTGTGTGTGTGTGTGTGTATATATATATATATATATATATATATATATATATATATATATATACCTGTCGTGAAGAAGCTAAAGGTTTTCTTCTTTTCTTGGGGACAAAATGTAAAACTAATTCGCGTGAGTTATCATCTGAAAACAAAACCAGGCAAGATGCTGAGCTGAGCTGGTGGAACCCCTCGCTGGACGGGAGCACCTGATCTTGCAGTGTGTTATTTCATGGCAAGTGCTGCTACCACTCATGGAACAAGTCGTACCTGGAGCCACTGCGAGGACAGGGCTGCCGTACCCTCACAATGGCAGGGCCTGGGAGCAGGGCTCGCAGATCCCAGGTGCTGGTGGTACCTGCCTGCTGCCCCTGCGGGGTCCGTCGCTCCCCAGAGCAGAACCGGCCTGGTGGTGCCAGCGGCGTAGGAGACCCTCCTGGGCAGAGGCTGACCTAGACGGGCACTGGGGCTTTTCTCTGACGGGAATACCTTCCACTCCTACTAAACTTTTATAGAAAACACGCCGAGATGCTCCCAGGTAGCATTTGGAGTGATATGTCCAAGGAGCCTGCTCAGGCTTTAAAACAGTTTCTGTGTTGTCTATTTTAAATCAGATTCACTCTAAAGTTAATACATTTCGTAGTATTACTTCAGACACACAAATTTTAAACTGATGTTGTATTCGCCCAAAAGTGAAGTTATTACAAAACCATCCATGCTTGTCATGCTGTGGACTTCTCATAATTTTCTCCTTTATTTAAATGAGATGATATTTGATATTTCACTGGCTAATAATTATATCTTAAATTAAAAGATCTTAGAATCAACTAGTGACTACGCAGTCTTTTGCAACTCACTGGGGGGAAAAACTCGTGATATAATTTTTTAAATCAAAACTTTTTCATATTTGTTTCTAGCTTTTACAAGAACTGCTATAAAAAGCATGGCATCGTGAATTATAAAGATTTGCAGAACTCCAGAGCTAAGTTTTTTGGGGCACTGTATTTTTCATTCTTTTAAATTTAAAGAAATATAATTTCTTTTTAAAAATCTTTTTAAAAATTGATTTGAGAGAGAGAGACATCAATTTGTTGTTCTTATTTATGCATCCATTGGTTGCTTCTTGTATGTACCCTGACCGGGGATCAAACCTACAACCTTGCTATATCAGGGCGATGCTGTAACCAGCAGAACTCTCCAGCCAGGGCTATAATTTCTTTTTAAAATTACTGTGACTGGTATTTTTAATAATTAAATACACTATATTCTTTGAAGAGACTAGTTTTCTTAATGTTTATTTCTTTGTATATTTCAGAATTACATTTAAAAATAATGATAATTTTTAAAAATCACAATATAATTTCAAAATCACTGTGACATTTAAATTATACTATCCCTGTGTATTAAAATTTATACAGGAGAAAAAGTGTGACTTTAGGAATATGCATTAGAAATACATTATTGATCACGGTTAATTGCTTTTAATTAGTAAGTAATAGGACTATAAACAAATACGTATATTCTGTTAATTCTCTGAAAATGGGGATATTTGCGACTAACTTTAATCATCAAAATAATTATGTGTGTGAAAGCAGTGTGAAAGGCATGCTGTGAAAACATATACAAGTATTAATACATTTCACTTCGTTTTCAAATTGTGAAATGGTTGTTAATAACAGGAGACCATCGTGAAGTAGGGAAAATACGTTAAAATAATACTTTACAAATGTTTTATATATCCTGGCCCATACTTTTACTTCTTTTATAAGATCTACATATGCCCAATGGATGGGACAGAAAATGTTAGAAATTCTAATTTGTGGGTGTTGTTCTGCTGAATTCATTGTCATTTGAATTTGGAAATATATGTCATAAGGTGTGGCAAATGTACTGGAACAAGTTTTTGGTCTCATAAGATTCCACTAAATAAATTTCGTCATAGAGGATTTTTTTGAATCACAAATCCAGAAAACTTGCTTAAGTCGCCAGTCTTTTAAGTGTAAAAATATGCCCCCTGCTTTAAATGTTAATCTGAATTTCTAACTTGCTTTTCTTAGTTTTTTCCTAGGAGAGCTCCACATTAGGGTAGTTGACCTCTTGAGCTGTCCCTTTCCTCCCTTTTAAAGCCGAAAAGAAACAAAAAGGGCAGCGATTTAAAATGCTTACAAAATTCCTTCAAAACTGATCTAATTTGACTCTAAAAAATAAAATAAGACCTGTTAATAACCATGTTGAAAGTATAGATAGACCCAGAATATTACATTTCAGTTAGTTTCATGGCATTCTAGATATAAAATATTAAATTGAAGAGTATTCGTAATCTTCATGGATTTTCTTATTAACTATTTGTATTTTATCACAATACAGACGTAGATTTGGAGGAGTTATAGGAATGTTTTATAAAACATATTATTTTATAAAAATGTCAGGTTTTAGTTTTTATTTACCTAAAATACTTAGGTAGGTTCTTGAAAGGAAAACGGTACCACTACAATAGGCCGTATTTTGGGGAAAACTTTTGCAGATATTAGGACAAAAGCTATCACCAATAATATTTGCTGAAGAAAAAAAAAAAAAAGAAAAACTATCACCAATAATAGTATATGCTTAAATTATTTTTTATTTTAAAAATGGGTTTATGTAATCTTAATATTTTTCTTCAACAATCAATGCAAACCAATATTTTAATAGTGGACATTCAATTCAGAATATGAATGTTTATATTTTTGACTGTTTCAATTATTATAGCGGGGCAAGTCACTATCCTTTCTACCTCTCCATTTTCTCATCTGTGAAACGGGAAAAGCATTGCAGTTATTTTACCGTGGGCTTTTTTGTATGATTTTAAGACTTTGTAAGCAAGCCTTTGTAATGTGATCTTGGACCTGAATATAATTGAGCTGATATTTTAAAGAGAACTTTTATGATTATCTGTGTTATAGCTAAATAACTCTTTTACAAATGTTAATAGTTCACCCGGTACTAATTTTGAGATTATTGTTAAGAATGAACTGAAGATAATGAATGCTTGCCGTGAGGTGATCCATTTACAAAATGTTTGTGGAAATATTTCGTCATTATTCAATTTTAAATTGTCATCATTCCCTAATTACTTCGGATAAAAATCAGCCAAATTATTTTTGTTTTGTTGATATTATCTGTATGAGTCTCACAGTGGACTCAGTGTGGATCTTCTCGTGTCAATAGTGTATGTCTAATGCATCTAGAAGGCGCCTTTTGTGCTTTTTTTAAAAAAATAAAGTTCTATTCCTTGTATATATTTATGGTCACTCTGTGAGAAGTTATTGTATGTTACCCAGGAGCAAGTTTTTTTGTATAATGAGGGCTATGATCCTTTGGATCAAAAGACAATGTAGTGTCGCTGCTTAAAAAACGAAATGGTGTGCTTATCGTGAAAACTGGGTCTTCTTTCAACAAGTTGTAACCAAAAAATTAGGCTTTAAGTAGCTTAAAAAGTGATAAATTTTCCTTATGAATTGTTAATTAATACATTTTATTGTGAAGTGTCCCCTATGCAAGAAAGTAAGAGACTTGGTTTCAGGCCTGCACCCCACTGTGTTCCTAGAATTTAGAGCTATAAAGCCCAAGTATGGACATAGCTAAAAGGAAGGGGAAGCAAAGGGCACAGACAGGCTTAGGCCAGTGCCTGTAGGTGAGTGTTCCATTTTTCTGGGCTTTCCCTTTGGGGATGCAAAATGGGGAGTGGCATT